TTGTGAATAATTTCTTAATCTATTTTCATTTTGGATCTATGGAAATAACAATTTACTCTTGATAAACCACAATTAGGTAATATTTTCATTATTCTTGTTCACATTCGAGGTACCGCCATCTTGGTGCACTCGTTTCGGCCTCCATGAGCGAGAACCAATCAGAATTGGATTTTTTTTTAGGCCACTTTCAGCCCAATCCTGGCCCAACCAAAAGTGAGTTGTCGTAACTCTGGGTATAAAGGGACTCTAATGCCGGTTGGTTCACACTTGGTATAAGTCAGAAATTAAATCCCAATATGAACACTATCCAGGAGTAATATACATCAATGGATTCATTATGGCTTTGACTACCGCTTTAAATAGCAAAATTTGCAAAAATTAATGCTGATTGAATTATAAAATACCTAAAAAACACAAGCAATTCTTGATTTCTTCATAAGCCGCCGTGTTACAAAATGCCGTTGGGTTCACAAATGGTTCACAATTTTCGGAGCACACGCGGCTCGGAAACGCCTGTTAATGGATTGGCTTCATCGGCGCTCCAGTACTTTGCGACTCTATTGTACTCTATGCTTTGAAGGGAAGAAAAAACTAAAACTTTTCAAAAATTTCTTAGAAGCTTCTAAGGAGATATCTAGGTTATGGTACATAACATAACTACGCGAGTATATAGGTTTCTAGAACTACTGAGTTAAAGTCATTTCTTGACTAATTAAAACTCATTCCTAAGAAGTTTGTTAAGAACATATTTGAAATTTATCTACATAAAAGTAATTTTTAAAGATTTTTCTTTACACTCTGAAATTGTTTATGCATCAAAAGGAAAAGAAAAATTAACAAGTCAAAAGAGTTTCCCAGGACCGAAAGTGTCCACGTTGTTCTCCAAAAATGTATTATTATTATTATTTTTATCTTTTTTATATATATAATTCTGGAAAAATTCTCTCCAGCTACCCCTCTCACCCTCTCAAAAAACGTCCTAAAAACAAACATGTGTTTCGGCGTGCTGTTGAGATACGCGGAGCTAAAAACCTCAGGTTTTATTTATAATGTAGCGTCTCCTTCCGACCGCTTAAAGTGCCACAAGCGCCATGCGACGCGACGATTAAAAATTTCCGCCGCCATTTTATTTTTTCACAGAGAAATAGTTCAACGAAGCTGATCAAAAATGTCACAGAGCCGGAAAAATTCAGTGAAATTTTCACACAAATTCAACCAACGATTTCTCTGTCAAAATATAAAATGACAGCGGAAATTTTGAAACGTCCCATGGCGCTTGTGATACTTTGGCCGGAAGGGGACGATATGGACTACATTTTGCAATTTGGAACTATAAATTCTAGCCCAGTTTAAAAACAACGTATGTGTCATTAGGTTCCCTATGCACATAAGTTTTTTTTCCGGAGGAGCCAGAATTTATAGTTGAAAATTGCAAAATGTAGTCCATATGTGAAACAGTCGATTTGATGAGTGAACCAGAATCCGACAAATTAATGCCGAAAGGAACCATGAGAAATTAAACACATGAAAAGGACCTTTGCGCATACGATGTGCATGTGCGTATTTCGTTGTTCCTTGTGATTTAATTGATGAATAAAACAAAAAAAAATGAAATACAAGAAATCAGAAAATGGGCTCGTTTTCCCCCTCCGTAATAATGGGACGGGAAACACAGGTATTGATGATGAAACTACCAGACCACGAATCTCGGTTTGCGGCGTTGTAGACTTCCTGTCATACTTTATTTTTTAAATGTAAAACCACTCAACGTCGATTCTTGAAAACTTCGATGCACTACCTTTGATATGCGAAGGAAACTCTGTAAAAATTTCATGGGAAGATGATGATTTGCAGGGTTGCCACAGTACCAGAATACCGGGAAATGCCAGGGAAATTGACGAAAATGTCAAGGAAAATGACGAAAACATCAGAGAAAACCGGGAAATGTCAGGGAAAATGACGAAAAAATTAGGGAAAATGTGTTGAATCATCCTTATTTGCCTCCTAGAATGGGTTTGAGAGTTCGAACAACAAATTTCGCCTGAAAAATATTTCAATTTTGTCATCTTAACCATCCGTCACATCTTCAATTATCAGGGCAAATTTCACCAAAATGTGTCAGAGAATTTCATTTTCTAAATTCTGCGGCAACCCTGGATTTGTTCTTCCTCAGCAAAATAAAATGGGAGTGGAGATTTTTAAACATCTCAAACGAGATATATGGTCTTGTAATTTCACCGTTGATATTGAAATGGAAGTATAAATAATGAAATTATTTATAATTCGGAGATGGTTCCTTTAAACAAAATTACGTGCGTAAATCCATATTCATAATGGACCACTAGACAAGGTACGAATTCAAGCGATCTGATACATGTTTCTTAACTAGAATTTCACGTAGAAAACGATTCACACAACGAAAATTACTGAAACCAACTCCTAACGAAGATATCAACGTTTTTATTTCACATTGGTTACGAGGAATTTGAACTGCCCGCTCACAAGAAACTCAAAGCTCTACGTGAGTCAAATCGCCCACTACAACGGTTTCAGCAAGCTTCTCAATCGAGCAATGTTCATTTCCCACCATGTGTTGTTCAAACTATAAGCAATTTGCTCTAGCTGAGCCAAAGCGTTAAGATTGAGGTTGCCAGATTTTTTATATCGCAGAGGCTGTCATGAGAACGTTTAGCGCGCGATGTGAATCACGTAGAGCATTGAGTTTTCATGAGCGGGTGGTTTCAATTCAAGCATCAAGAATCATTAAATATCTTCGTAAGGAGTTAATTTCGGTAATTTTCGTTGTGCGCATCGTGTTTTACGTAAAATTTTGGCTAAGCAACATGTATCAGAATGCTGAAATTCGTACCTTATCTAGTGGTCCATAGAGTCAAACTGATAAACCAATATCGCGGACCTGCGAGTAAGGTCTGTGTCGATTCAATCGACGAATAAAAACGTCAAATTGATCGACGTTTAAAGAGCTTGATGCAAAAACAGCTTTTTTCGCCCCCCTCTGGAAGTTCTTCAGACTTTGTCTATTGATTACTCATACTTGAGCGCTTCTTTCCCCAAATTTTCAGACTCCCAAAAAATTTTGGGGGGGAGCTAGGGGGGTGGAAGTCAAAACCTGTGAACCTCGATATCTCTTGAACAAAGAAAGATATCGAGGTCCGGTTTGGACGAAAAATCGTCTAAAATTGTATACTTTAAGATTCTAAATGTCGAAATCCCGATATCACATTTTTAAGTCAACATATATGCTTTTGTCCAGTTTTTAGGTCTAGAAAATTTCTTTTAAACAAAAAATTTACAAAGATCTCAATTTTTTATTTGAACCAAAACCAGTTTTTTAAATTGTTTGTTTTTTTCCGCATCCAACGAGTGGTCCATTAAGCTGGGGAACCAAACGGTTCCGGAGTTATGATCGATTGAAGTTTCCGCTCAACGCGCGCCGACCGATTTTCGCGCGCAAAAAAGTCGGATTTGACTGTTATTAGATCAGATTGAATGTTCAAACTGAGCAAAATGCTTTATTAGGGACTCTTGAGGGTCGCTGAGTTCAGAAATTACAGATACTTCCAAATAATTTTCGTTTTTAAAATTACAGCTCCGCAGCGCTATTTTAGAGGCCCACTGAGCGCCGACCGGTCGCTCAGTGGTCCTGTCCGAAGCTGTAATTTTAAAAACGTAAATTATTTGGAAGTATCTGTAATTTCTGAACTCAGCGACCCTCAAGAGTCCCTAATAAAGCATTTTGCTCAGTTTGAACATTCAATCTGATCTAATAACAGTCAAATCCGACTTTTTTGCGCGCGAAAATCGGTCGGCGCGCGTTGAGCGGAAACTTCAATCGATCATAACTCCGGAACCGTTTGGTTCTCCAGCTTAATGGACCACTCGTTGGATGTGGAAAAAAACAAACAATTTAAAAAACTGGTTTTGGTTCAAATAAAAAATTGAGATCTTTGTAAATTTTTTGTTTAAAAGAAATTTTCTAGACCTAAAAACTGGACAAAAGCATATATGTTGACTTAAAAATGTGATATCGGGATTTCGACATTTAGAATCTTAAAGTATACAATTTTAGACGATTTTTCGTCCAAACCGGACCTCGATATCTTTCTTTGTTCAAGAGATATCGAGGTTCACAGGTTTTGACTTCCACCCCCCTAGCTCCCCCCCAAAATTTTTTGGGAGTCTGAAAATTTGGGGAAAGAAGCGCTCAAGTATGAGTAATCAATAGACAAAGTCTGAAGAACTTCCAGAGGGGGGCGAAAAAAGCCGTTTTTGCATCAAGCTCTTTATATTTCTTTTTTTTTTCAATTTGATTTCGTGTACTGAATCATCTTGTAAATGTCTTGAGGGAATTGATGAAGCGTCATGGAGCGTTCCAGGAGATGCTTTTCAGAATTATCTGTTAATTCGTTAAGTCCAGTTAAGATGTATCTAATGAATTTAAAATTACTATTTTGATTTTTTTTTTCATTTCAGCGTGGCTAGTTCCGAACAAATGAGCTCGTAGCATGCCCGGTGAACGTGGTGAGCACCTATTGTGGACTTATTCGAGAAACCGGGTTAAGCACTCAAGCCTGTACGTATTTCAAAATTATCGTCCATATCTGAGTATCCTATAAAAAGTAAGTTCGATAAGCAAATGCGATGCTTCTTTCAAAGAAGGAAAGCTAAGCATCGAACAGGTAATCCTTCCTTTTCACCGGATCAAGCTGGGATATGGATTTTTCTCACGTCTTTCAGAGAGATTGAAGTTGTTTCTTAATCAGCTCCGTGGCTTCGGAAAGCCACAAGGTATAAATAGTATAACTATGAGAGGTTTAATGGAGCCTGTAATGCAACGCAAGGAAGAGAAGAGCCCCAATCCAACTTGGAGTGAAATTCAACCGAATCTCCTCATGAATCGATTGTTAATGAGGATTCCAACGATTTGCCACCTACATTATTGAAGTTAAAATAGAAAATTAATTTTAATAATATTAAAAATGCCAAAGGAGGGCCCACATTGTTGCAATCAGTGCTCAGCATCCGTTGCAAACGAGGACGATTTAAAATCGCATCCGGATTCAGTATCTATCTCTGGAATCCGATCCATCGGAGATGATCGATTGCGTGAAAAATGCAGTGGACCAGAGAGAGATTTTCAAGAGAGTGTATTTCCTCAAATAAAGGAGGAATTTGAGAGTGAAAACGATGATTCCAGAGATGGAGAGGATGAAAGCGATAAGGCCAGAGAGATTGGGAACAATGATTCAAAGAAAAAAGAATTAAGTGCCTCCAAAAATAGGGAGGAGGCTAATTTCGTCAGCAACATCGAAAACGACGATTCCAGAGAGATCGAAAGAGGCGGTTCCTGGAGAAAATGCGACGATGACTCCAGAGATAGAGAGAATAAGAGCAATGAGTCCAGGAGTTTCGGGATGGATGGTTCTAGAAACGTTAAGGACGAAAGCGATTGCTTAGGAAACATCAGAAATGAGCATGACAGAGAGAACGCAAACTGTGATTCCGGAGATGACGTTGGGGAGAGCCATGAGCCCAGAGAGACGGACAGACAGAAAGATAGGAAGAACGAAAGCGGCTCTTTAAGAAACATCGGAAACGATGATTCCAGAGATAACGGAAACGATGATTCCAGAGATAACGGAAACGATGATTCCAGAGATAACGGAAATGACGATTCCAGCAATTCAGGGCACTGCAGCATTGAAATCAAGGCCAAACCCGCATTTGAATTCATCAAGTGCGAAAGTTTCACCGATGATGACACCACTGCAAACGACGAACCTCGCTACGCCGTAGATACCCTCAACGCCTGCACCTCGTCGCTGGTGAATGCACAAAGAGAAACAAAAAAACGAAGAACCAATCAATCAAGCAGCACAAAATCAGCCAAGAACCCCGCCCCATCGGCTCGAGAAAAACCATTCGTTTGCAATGAGTGTTCGACCTCCTTCACCGCCAAAAGCAGTCTGAGACGCCACACACTCCTGCACACCGGGGAGAGGCTCTTCACCTGCAGCGACTGCTCGGCGTCCTTCGCGCACAAGGGCAATTTGAAGTCCCACATCCGGTGCCTCCACACCCAAGAGAAACCCTTCAGCTGCAGTATTTGCTCCGCGACTTTCAAACGCAAGAGGAACCTGGCCGGACACATGTCGGTGCACGAGGAACTGAAATCCTTCAGCTGCGACCAGTGCTCCGCCTCCTTCGGCCGGGTGAGCGACCTCAAGCGCCACGTCCTCGTCCACAGCGGCGGACGCAATTTCCGCTGCCCCCGCTGCCCTTGGGCCTTCACCAGCGAGAGGAAGCTGAAGGCTCACATGTCCAGCGACCACGGCGAGAAGTTGTTCCGGTGCAGTCTTTGCCCGGGGTCCTTCAGCCAAAGGTTTCACTTGGAGGTGCACATGCTGACGCACAGTGGCGAGAAGCCGTTTACGTGCAGTCAGTGCTCGGTGTCCTTCAGGCATAGAGGTAATCTAAGGAGGCACTTGCTCATTCACTCCGGAGTGAAATCCTTCGATTGCGATCAGTGTGCCAAGTCCTTCAGCCAGAAAGGGAATTTGAAGAAGCACTTGTTGTCGCACCTGAATAATGCGGGACCATTCAAGTGTCAGTACTGTACTGCTGTCTTTAAAAGAATGAGCTTTCTTCAGTCGCACGAGGTGAATCATAGCCTTGTCAATAGCCACTCTTAGCCGTGGCTAGAGTCCCTTTATACCCAGAGTTAAGACTACTCACTTTTGGTTGGGCTGAAAGTGGCCTAAAAAAATCCAATTCTGATTGGTTCTCGCTCATGGAGACCGAAACGAGTGCACCAAGATGACGGTACCTCGAATGTGAACAAGAATAATGAAAATATTACCTAATTGGGGTTTATCAAGAGTATATTGTTACTTCCATCGGTCCCAAATTAAAATAGATTGAGAAATTATTCACAAACCAATCTCATTTTATTTTTAATCGATCAATTTTGTTGATGTTGTTGTTTTCGGATGACAGACATCGCAGGATTCCTGATCCTTATCCCTCAATATCGTTCGTTTGGGTGCACTCGTTTCGGCCTCCATGGCCAGCCAAGGCCGGCTGCCAGTCAGCTGATAATCGAGTTGTCTTAACTCTGGGTATAAAGGGACCCTAGCCGGGGCTTCAGTCTGGTGGCGCGGTGACCATCAAGGAGCCATTTCCAAAAATCCTTTAAGAGAACTGTCAAAATCCTCGTCTCAAGAAACCCTTCCTGGCCTTTCCTTTAAGCAAAATTCAGCTTTTTGTGAAATTAACTTAATAAAGTCCTCCTGAAAAATTATTGTTAAGAATTTTTAACGCAACCTCAAGCATTCCTAGTGTTGAGACTCGTAAGTTGATTCATGATTATTCGTAGATTTTATGAGTTCCTTTTCTCTTTTCATTTTAAATTTCATTTTTCGTAAATTTTACTTAAAAAATGCCCAAGAGGGGTCTGATACAACGACCATTTGAACAGTTTTTTTAAGAGTTTTCTTTTCAAAATTTACGAGTTTTGTAGAGGTTTTTTTTTAGGGGGGGGGGATCGGTGCTGTTAGTTTTTTCGTAAAAAGTCAGAGAAGTTTCTTTTGTATATTTCTAGATCGTGAATCGTGTAAATTTATGGTTAGTAAGTATGCAAATATATTGATCTTTTTTTCGTATCACCTGTTCTTACCTGTATCTCACCTCACTTTTGTTTAAAGAAAGATATTTAGAATTAAGTCGGCCCAACAGAAAGGGATCCCTTCCTCCCTTTCTGTTGGGCCGACTTAATTCAGGCTCCCGGAACAGGCTTCTCGAAAAATGGTGAGGTCCAGGTGCGGGTCCATAGAGGACCGCAGTGAGGAGGTCCAGGTTCCGAACATTCTTCCAAACCCGGTCCAGATTCGGGTCTGGATGAAAATTTTAATACTTAGAAACAGAAAATAGATAAAAATCATGAGGTAAAATAAAGAGAAATGGTCTTGCCTATTACATATATGTCCAGAGATCCTGGAATCGATTATTCGGTAGAAGCAAGATGTTATGCACAAGCCGATCATTGAACATGGGGCGGGTAGGACTACCAAAGTAGCAGTGATCGCGATAAATAGCGATTTTATTGGTTGGTTATTCATCCTTGATTTTATAAATTTTCATCGATAAAATCGAAATTAAATCGCCATTTATCGCGATTTTTATTTCGAAAATATCGCGATAAATTGTCGGGCGATAAATGCGCGATTTTATCGCGATAAGATCGAGGATAATCGCTCAGATGTTGATGATCCTGGCAATTTTATCGCCGATACAATCGCAATTTACAGTGATTTTTCCGTTGAAAAACGCTACTTGGGTCAGTAACGATAAACTTAAGCCCTGAAAAGAGGCGCTCAACTGACACTTGAGCACTAGACTTGTTGTATGATTGTGCTCAGTGACCGCGCTATTTGAGAGAGACTTTAACGAATGGATAGAAAAGTAGAGGCTCGGTTTTTTGTTAAAAAATATTTACCACCAATTAAAGAAAATTTTTTGAAACGAATCGTGTTCATTGAAACTATGCGCTCCTTTTAGGAGACTTTAACGAATGGATAGAAAAGTTCAGGCTGCGTTTCAGGTCTAATTTAAATTAAATTTGAAAGTAACCTAACCTACGGCGAAAACATGTTTAAAACGTATGATCGTCGTCGAAACTGCACTTCTTGCGGGAAACTTCAACGAATGGATAGATTATAAAAACGCAGTCTATTATGGTGCCGGAAGCAGCTCGGGAAATACGCTCTATTTTTATAAAAAAAATTGGTGTACTGCAGCTTAAATTATGCAATTTGACCCTGTTCAAATTTGCATGTAATAATACTTAATTTCCTATGCTCTTAAAAAATGAAATGATTTTACATACGCACGAAAAGAGGAACTATCGGAATTTACAGAGATGAGGGTGAACTATTTCCTTTGAAAAATTTGAAAAATTTGAAAAATTCCTTTTAATAAATGACGGACGGGAATAGTATGGCATTTGCGATAAATTTCGCCACTTTCTTTTTATAACCTTAAAGAATGTAGCGTGTCGAAATTATGGACTTATAAAAATGAATAGCACTTTCGTTATCAAACGAACTTCTACGTTGAGATACTCGGTTGAATCGCTAATTCCCGGGCAGTGGCGTGGCGTGAGTGATCGATTATCGATATTTTCCCATTTGAATCCGTGGTAAAGAATCGATTATTAAGGTGTTCGCTGCGAACACCCTGTTAATCGATCCTTTTCCATAGGTTCAAATGACAGATCAATCGATACATCGCAAAGCACGCCACGCCACTGTTCCCGGGCACAGAATTGAGCACACACGCAAGTTTACAAAGTTCTGGATTAGTCCCCCACATTCACTTTTTATCTTCTATAGAGTAATTGTAGACCGTATGAATTGAATGAGACATTTTGCAACTGAGAATTTTGCAAAATTTTCCTTCTGTTTCCTTTTTTTTTATCGAAAATCATTGGGATTCATCGTAAGAACTATTTACTCATATTGAATAAAAATGAATTATACCAGAAGTTCCTCTAAACTGCCCTCTTTGCGAAGCCATGTTAAGGTGATTCGATGGACGCCATATTTTGTGTCAGAACGGCATGCGATATATCGCATCAATTGGTTCCATATTTTCAGCTACTCGTCATTTTTCTCCTATTTTGAGATCGCACTTCTGTTGTCAGGAGTCTAAAGCACTCACTTACCAATTTTAACAAAGGAATTCAACGTAATAAAGGCGTGGTTTTTTCAGAGAGAAAA